ACACACACACACACACACACACACACACACACACACACACACACACATATATATTTCATTTCTAGGAAATTCAAAGAAATTTAAATTACAGTATATCAAAAGATCTGAAAGCTAATTTTCTTTAACAAGAATTCATTTTTAATTAGGGTCTTTCAATTATTTTTAAACTTTTGTTCAAAAATTATAAATCAAGAAAATTATTGGAGGAAAAATTATCTATGCAAATTAACTACAAGAAATGTGTTTTTTTATTTTTATGTAAAATTATATAACTAAATATCAAAATCTTTCTTACATTGTCCCACTATTATAAAGTAGCATGACTGACTTTAGTGTATGCTATTTTATGATCACAACACTTGGGTGATGTTTCTTATTCCACATCACAAAATTATTCCAAATAATTCATTTTAAGTTGAATTTCTTTCATTTAAAATTATTTTTGTGAACTTTAAAAATGTATGTTTAGTTACTTGATTAAAGCATACTCTATAGCATGATTAATACCTATATTTTTAAGTTAATGTATAAACTAATATCAAATCAGGGGTGGGGAACCTGTAGCCTTGAGGCCACATGTGGCCTTCTACTCCTGAAGTGAGGCCCTTTAGGTCCTAAAGTGCGGCCCTTTGACTGAATCCGAACTTCACAGAACAAATCCCCTTAATAAAAGGATTTGTTCTGTAAAACTTAGACCCAATCAAAAGGCCACACCTAAGGACCTAGAAAGCCACATGTGGCCTCAAGGCCACAGGTTCCCCACCCCTGAAACCCATTAGAAGTGCCCATAGAAAATGAATGTTTTATTTTATATAGCTTTCTATCCCAAATAAATTAGCATGAAACATTTTATAGCATAACTTACTAAGGAATCAAATTTATAATCAGTAATATTGAATATTGAATTATAACCAATAATGCTATTCAAAAATTTTGAAAAACACTACAATTGGATATTATATACAAATTACTGAAATGTTTTAATGTAAAAAAATGGAGATATATACATTCAGAATTTGCCATATTTAAAAGTCTCTGAACTACTTACAACCTTAATCAGTTGGAAAATTGTATTTAATCCTAAATAGGTTGCTCTAAAAGCAAGGCCATATGATGGTATAATATATATATGTGTGTGTGTGTGTGTGTGTGTGTATATGTATATGTATATGTATATATACATAATTATATATTTATATATATACAAATTTCTCTCTCTCTATATATATATAAATTTCATTTTCACAAGAAGCACTTAGTTGCAGGAAGTATAAGAAAAATGCAGTATTGTGTATTGTTCCATACAGTTTAATATTCTGTCTCTGTTAAGAGCCAAGTCATGAGAGACTGTAATACATGTCCTCCATGATCTTTGTTTCACAGGTTTAGAGAGACACTCTGAATACCTCTCACATTCTTTACCATCACTTTTCCTTTCAGAGCCTCAGTTTACTCACCTGTAAACTTGTATTATAGGTATTGTATTAACCTGTATTAACAGGTATTGTATAAACCTGTATTAACCCCACTGGGTTAATAATATATGTATTGCATTTGTCAATGTGTTTTACAGCACTTTGCAACCCTTTAAGTGCTATACAAAGGCAAGTTATTATTATTTCCTGATTCTTGAGCACTTTTCCTACTAATTCAATTCAACAAGCATTTCTTACGTGCCTACTATGCACAAAACACTGTGCTAGGTACTATGGCACCATTCCTTAACATTAGGCAGGATTCTGTAATATAAATAATTGAGGTATCCACTGTGGTAAAAGTTGGATTAACTGGAACAATGGAAGATCAGATGATATGAGTCGATACAAAATTCTGATTAAATAATTAAATACGTTTATGTATGGGAGGTCTGTTATGGCTCATTTACTAAGAATGTCAGTGGTATCCCTCAACCTATGAAATCAAAATCATGAAGGGCAGCTACCATGATCTCTCATCACATGACCCTTATGAGAGACATCCTTCTGGCAGAATGTGGGAGATGCTTATGGTGAAAGCAGCTGAAGTATCAAAAGGAAAGTCCAAGGCTAGGTTGGAGACAATTTGTACTGACTTGCAAGAGCTGACTGATTGACATTTACTAACATATTTACTACACCTCTGGGAAAGCTCTATAGGATGAGCAGCACCACTTCCTATGCAGTCACTTTCCTGAATTCTCTTTTAGTGGCAATGTACCCATTGCTACCAAGGTAGGAGATATAATCCTAGCATGGGGAAAGCTGATCATCTGATTTTTCATAGCTCCTCAGCACCTGACAGCCATGGCCACTTAAATCGGAGACCATCAGGGCTTAAAAGTGCTTTAACAACATAAAATCCAGCTCCCTCACTTTACAGATGAGGCAACTGGACCCAAGACAGATAAAGCAATTTGCCCTGGCTTATACAAGTTCACGTCAAAACTAGGACTTGAACCCAGGCTCAAGACTCTTAACTCCATGTTTTTTTCCAATGTACCATGCTGCTTCTCAGTATTCTATTTTGGCAATAAGCAGTGATGATTAATTGTTGGCTGCCATGAACAGATGAATTACTATCTATTCCTCTAAACAGAGAAGTAAGGACTTCTAGTCTCCTCTTAGTATAACATGCTAGTGACTAATTCGCAGTAGAGACAGGCAATAATCTCTTCTTACCTCTTCTTGAAAAAGAATTCTATGTGCTCCATTACAGAAAGCATTACTCACAGTAACCAGAATGAACACTTATTGTGGAGGATTAACTGAAATGTTTGATTGCAAAGCATTCCCACTGGCAAGAGGACACATAACTCAGCTTTTACTGTATATGTAAAAACCATTTATCAATTTACCTTTATGTGTGTTTAAAAAGTAATTTCTTATTAGTTATTGCAAATATGTATCTTTAAAAAAAAAAAGCTGTTGAGTGTAGGGTGATAACTGGGCATGGACCATGATTAAATGACAATGAGACACTGAATTTAGGGCTAGATAGGACCTTATAGATGATGATAATCCAAAGTGTGAGAGATGATCTCTCGGAAGTGAAGCCTCCTCAAAGGGTTAATAGTTTTTGTTAACAGTTCTCACAAAAGGCAGCAATTAGGAGATCACTGGTCATTTGGAGAGAGATAAGGTCAGAAGCCAGATAGTAAGAAGAGTGGGAGGAGGGAGATTGGAGGCACCTGTTGTAGATGGCCTTCTCAAGGAATTTAATTGTACTGGTGAAACACACTCCCTTCTGACCTTGTCAAAACCCCCCTACTCAGTACGTAGCAGAAAGAATAGAATAGCCCTACCCCCAACGTAAAACCCTTGCAAGACTTCCCGCCTCTTCTTGTTTCCAGGCAAACTTGTGTACTGTGTTGCTAGGGAAGATTTCTGTGAATAGATTGTGCCTCCTGAAGCCCAGCCAATGGGATAAAGGGGAAGGGGATTTGGCAGGAGGAGCTCGTGTTATAATAAGCCTTGCTTTTTGTTCCGGTACTTGTCCTCCCTGGCTAGCACCTTTAGGGCGACTAGGGGTGGCACCCTTTCTCATGAGAAAACAATAAACTCCTTTCTGCTTTCAAGGTAAGTAAGTCTTTGTTTTGAATTTGAGTAGTGGTCTCTGTCCCACACAAAAGGAAGGTAAAGTTGCCTACTTAATTTTGGGTTTACTGGCTAGATTTCTCTCTCAAAGACCAAGCCTTAAACCCAATTCACTCTGGAGCTCATAGATTAGACAATGGGTCTCTGCCTAAGCACCACTTAATGATTATTTTTTGGGCCCTCCTAGATCAGAGTGAATGTACTTAGCAACTGTTTCTCTTTTGGCTAGCAACACTGAGGGTCTTCCCTTCCCAGTTTGATTTTTTTTTTGTTATTCAAGGGGCCATCCCTTGACTCTCTTCTTAAAGAGGTCTATTCACTGAAGGGGCATTGCCTCACTGGAAGTGAGAACCTGAAAAGATCTTAGCTTAAAAGGGCCAGGGTCTCTCATTGCATCCTGAGCCTTCTTCAGTCTTTCTGATGAATACCTGGCCACTGGACTGAGATGGCTCTGGAGGAGAAAGTGAGGCTGGTGACCTTGCACTGCCCTCCCTCAAAACAAAGTCAATTGCAAGTCATGTCATCATCTCCCTGATGTCATTGTGCTCTTCCAGAATTAAGGACAAAACACAATATAAACACACAACAATTTCACAGATGAGGAAATTTACATAGATATAGGGTGATAACCAGAGTCTCTCAGTTTCTGGGACAGTGCTCTTTCTACTTTGCCCCAAATAGTCACCTAATGGAGGCAACTAGAGGTAAAAGCATAGTCCAGAGGTAGAATAAGTATGCCCTCTAACATATACCTCACACTTTATAAAGTGACAGGAATACCACAGATATATTCTTAGGGAATCAATCCCCATTCTGTTACAATGATATGTAGTGTATTTTGCATCCATTTTACATAACATCAGATAAGCCTGAATTCAACTTAAACGACATTTGTTGTTGCTTAGTCGTTCAGTCGTGTGTGACTTTTCATGATCCCATAGACCATACTGATCATGGGGTTTTCTTGGCTAAGATACTGGAGTAGTTTCCATTTCCTTCTCCAGAAGTTGTCATTTAGTTGCTACTAAGATCAATCATTACTGAATTTTGTAGAGATATACCAAAAGGTTATAAGCAAAATGTGAGACTGATAAGCTTAAAACTTACTATGTTCCATAGTCCATCATTAATAATTTTGCCACCACTTGTAACTTTAGTCCCATGTTCATTTTTGAATTGAATTTCAATCCTCCCATCACGAAGGGCAAGCAGGAACCATGCTGAGTGATCAAGGGATTCTGCATAGAGTATAACACCTTCTGAGTCATAGGTCCGAAAATCAAATTCAGCTGAAAATCTAACAGTGGAAGGAGAGATATTACTCAACATGCAAAATTTTGGAAGGCTTAGTACATAACTCTTAATTATATTGGCAAATGGTTCAATGGTACTGGTTCAAAAGAGAAACTAATTATCTAGTCCCTTGGAATTTTTTTTTTTTTAATTAAAGGGGCCATCCCTTGACTCACTTCTTAAAGAGGCCTATTCACTGATGGGGCATTGTACCTAACACAGTACCTGTCATATCAATCAATAAATATTAAGCTTTTGCTGTGTGCCAGTTACTGTGTATACTGTACTGAGGCTATGTATATAGAGAATGAAACTATCCCTGTTCACAAAGAGTATACATTCTAATGGCAGAGACAAGTACATATAAAATTGCATACAGAATAAATATTAAAAAAATATGAATCTATTTAAAGTATATAGACAAGGTAGCTTTGGAAGGAGGACATTAGCAGATGGGGAAATCAGCAAAGGCTTCATGAAAATGATGATTAAGTTGCATGTTAAAGAAAGAGAGGGATTTTGTGAAGTGGAGGTAAGGAGGTAGTGCATTTAATGCATGTGAAATGGCCAGTACAAATACGGATGGAGCGATGAGTATGGAGAACAGACAGAAGTTCAGTTTGGCTGGATCACAGAATGCAGGCGGGAAAGAGAATTATGTCCAATGAGACTAGAAAGATAGGTTAAAGACAGCTTGTGTAGAGCTTGGAAAGCTTAACAAAGGAGTTTTATTTTGTCCCAGAGGCAACAGGAAGCCACTGGAGTTGACTGATAGAAGAGTCACATGGTGGGATCTGAGCTTAAGGAAATTTTCTTTGGCAGCAAATATATGATGAATTGGAATGACAAGACATTTAAAATAATTGCAAGGTTATTGGAATAATCTAAGCAAGAAATTATGAGGGCCCAAACCAAGATGATAGCTGTGTAAGTGGACAGAAGTCATATAGGAAAGATGTTGTGAAGGCGGAAACATCAAAATTTTGCAACTAATTGGAGATGTAGGAGACGGAAAGATGGTGGCACTTTCAACAAAAATAGGGGAGTTTAGAAAAAGGGAGGGTTTGGGTAAAAGATAATGAGTTCAATTCTAGATATTTTGAGTTTAAGATGTCCCCTGAACACGCAATTTGACATGCCCAATAGAAAGTTGGTGATGCGAAATTCAAAAGGAGATACTAGGCCTAAATATATAGATCTGGGAGTCATCTGCATAAAGATAATTATAAAACCCAGTAGAGCTTATGTGATTACCAAAAACAAACAAACAAACAAACAAACAAAACAAAAAAAAACAAGTAGAGAAGGGCAAGAGCCCTAGAAAAGAATCTTAGGGAAAAACCATGTATTTCTGGATGACAGATCAGTAGAAGAGACCTCAAAAGAGTGGTCAGACAAGTAGGAGGCAAACCAGAAGAGGGTAGTATCATGAAAACAGAGAGAAAAGCGTATCCAAAGAGCTTAGTGATCAACAGTGTGAAATGCAGCATATAGATAGGCTGAGTTCTAGTAATAAAAAAAGACCTCATTGGACCAAGCAATTAAGAAATCACTGGTAATCTTGCAGAAAGCAGTTTCAGTTGCATAAGAGGCCACATCAGAAGCCGTATCATATCACATTTCTGTAATGAAATACTTTATGTTTTCTTTGTAGTTCCTTATTTGTTATGTGTTAGAATCTACAAACACCCAACATGTTGCATTTCCCAGTGTCCTCTGAATGATGGTCATTTTTAATTCTTGGGAAACCATATTGTTGTTATTTAAATGAGGCCTTTGTTCAGGAAGATGTTCGCAGTTGTGTCTTACATATAAAATAAAGTATACAATAATTCTAAAGTTAGAGATAGAATGAACTTTTTTTTTTCCATAGTCCTTTGGCAAGATTCTTATAACTGTGTAAAGGTTATGCTGATCATAGTTTGCAAAGGGTTTCTTGGGACTTGAAGATGATGAGAGTTTAAATCAGGATTTTGGTATATTGTCATTTGCTTCAAAATATTACCAAAAGACTAAAAGAGAAGTAATTCTCAACTTGTCTTTACAACTTAAATACTTTAAGGGACCCGTGAGTTGTTTCCCTAACTGAATGGAACTATAGAATCCAGGTCTAAGAGCTTCTCTGGAGGCATTCTCTGGTTTAGCCTTCCTACCTTACAATATAATAAGATGAGAGTACTGCTCTTGGGAGCTCTAGTCACCAGAGAGAAATATTCTACAGCACCCATGAAGGTGATTCTTCTATTATTGCCCCACTACATTCCTACTATAAAATGACATTCTTGAGGAGGGCAGCCACAGCTATAACAAAAAGTACTCTTCCCCAGCAGTCACTGAAGGCCCACCCTGAAAATATATTCCAATGATATCCTGGAAGTAGGAGGAACCTGGAAAGGCTAGCTAGGTTTCCCAACAGATTTTCAAGAGGAGGGTTCAAATGAGAAGAAAGAGATATTGCTCTCCAATACCACAAGATGTTTTTACTTGGTATCCTTTTCAACATTAAAACTGCACAAAAATAGTTTTTTAAAAGTCCAAAAGTGTCCATAGATAAGTAAGGTGGACAGTTAACAACATGGTAGGATTTATACGTGAGCCCAGAATTTTTAAAAATCATTTTGCTTGGGGAAAAAAGGCAAATTGTGATTCTCTTACATAACCCTTTAAATATTTTTCTGAATCAGAGTAGTGTCTGGTCAAAAACCAAATTTGTGTGCACTTAAATTCTTCCAGAGGTTCTTTGTCTTGTGAAGAGAATTTTCTTTGCAAAATCATACTAAAATGACAGTTCAAAGAGTCCTCTTTTGGAAAAATATCTCCCTGGAAATCACCAACGTCTTGATCTATCAAAAAAGATGGCAGTTAATCGTTTCTCAGGCATTCTGTACTGATGGCTAGATTACAAATGTGTACAACATGGAAGGGAAAGGAAAAGAAGATTTTTTTCTTAAAAATGGAAGTGATGCCTTTAGACAAGAAAAAGAAATAGGAGGAAAATATTTCCTCAGTGAACTCAGATCCACAAACAGATGATCAAATCGTCATGAACTATCAAAAGGAATGCCCCCAAAAGAATATTTCAGCAGTGAGTTTTTCTATTCTCTTGACAGCATGAGAAATATTTTCTCCCTCAAGATAGCACTGTAGGGTACCATTGTGCTCTAACATGTAAAAAAAGGCAAATCACACTATTTAGAAGAGGAAAACAAAATTCAACTCAATTCAATAATTAAGCACCTACTGTAGGAAATGCTGAATTTAGGGTCAGGAGCTGGGTTCTAATGCTAGTTCTGTCATTTATTAGCTGTGTAAACTTAGCCAAATCACTTAAACTTTCTGGACCTCAGTTGAACTAGATGATCTCTAAGGTCCCTTCTAGCTCTAAAGATATGATACGTGATCCTACAAAAAATCTAAACAAAACAGTTTGTGCTCTCAAGGAGCTTACATTCTACTTGGGGATAACATATGTACAGAGGAGTGAATAGTGAATTCAAGGTAGTTCGAGGAGGTACAGAGTGTTAACTACGGGTGGAAATGTGGGAAGAGGATCAGGGAAAGCTTCATGGAAGAGACAATATCTGAGCTGATCCTAGAAAGAAGATAGGGATTCTGAAAGTCATGGATGAGAAAGAAATGTGTTTCAGACTTGGGAGAGAGTTTGTGCAAATACATAGATACAGGAGATGGAATATATGACTTGGGAAACAGCTAGTAGTCCAGTCTGGTTGGAATGAGTTGGGTGAGGAGAGGTGAAGAAAAACAGAGATGCAGAGACAGACAGAGATACAGGGAGAGACACAGACCGACAGACAAAGACAAAGTCGGAGATGACAGAAAGAAACAGAGATAGAGAGACATACAGAGAGGTAAAGATAGAGGAAGACAGAGACAGAAAAAAGAAAACAGAGAAACAGAGAGAGACAGGAGGCAGAGAAGAGAAAGAAGCAAAGACAGATTTTTGGTTAGATGTTTTACTGTCTGATAAAAATGCCCAGATTTTATAGGCTTATATATATATATATATATATATATATATATATATATATA